AAAAAAAAAAACTAACAACTTTATGGTATTTATTTTTTTATTTTTATATCAATAGTTTTCAATAAATTATTAAATATAAAACCATATAATAGAGAAGTTTCACTTTAAGTAATGCAAATTAGTTTATATATATTGAATGACAAAAGATAACCATACACTTGAGTTTCGTAACTTAATAATTATAAACCTCATGATAAGGTACACACTCAATCCAAAGGTTAAGATTCAAATATTTATCAGGATTATTTTTACCAAGCAACTAGACATAGGATTGGATAGGTTCGATTTTGATTGTGACTAAAACCAATGTTTAATTATCTGATTTTTTTTCTTTTCAATTCATAGAAACTAAAATTGAACCAAAGATGCTTATGGATTTTTGGTTTGGTAACTTAAATAATCGGTTTTAACAACTTGATTGTCGATTTTAACCAAATCAACAATAAATACTTATTTCAAGCTTAACAATGAGTATACTTACCCAAAATTTAGAATTGTTTCCCTTAAAAAAAATATTAGTACAATCAATACTCAATTTGATTCAATAAAACATAACTAAACCAAGTTTCATTCTAATGCATTCATTTCCAACAAGAAGTTTGAATAATATAAATTCATCATTCTAGATTGAAGAGAAGAAAACAAAAATACAAAGAACCAACATTTCATAAGTGATAGCCAATGTCTTTTGTCCATCAATAAGCTAAAGCAATGACCAAGACTATTGATCACTAACAAATATCTAAGCTAGGTGCATTATATATAATTCTTTCATCAAATTGACAAATATCAAGTATGTATCTATTGCCATAAAAAAGAAATTGAGATGCAACTTCCAATGTGCATTAGGTCAATTATTCAAGCATTATATATATTGTAAGTAGAGTAGGAGCTTTCCAAGCACTAGCAATATGAGTTAGTAGAAACTGTGCAAAAAAACTCTATAGTTGTCAAGTGAGTGACTATGCAAAAAGGCCAACAAGCTTCATCTTTGATTTTTTGTACAGCTACAGCATATTGATGATTCATATGTGCTGTCAATAAAAAAAAAAAAAAAAGCTCTAACATATATACCCTGATTATCTAATCATTTGCCAAAGAAAAATGCAAGTTACTTCAACTAATTATATGAAATAATTGAAAATATCAAAAGATAAATATGAATGCCTAACTATACTTGCAATATGTCGTATAATATATCCAAATAAGACAATAAAATGAAAGGAATCAAAGGATTAATATGCCTAACTATACCTACCAATTATTATATGATATATTGAAATATATATGTTGTAAAAAAAAAAAATGTAAGATGAATAAACTTTACCTTCTACTCATCACCAAAAAGGTTAAATCCTTCTAGTATTTTACCATTCATTCAAGAATGGTAGAATCTAAATGGAGATTGTCAAAGTCTGCAACATTCAAACTAAAAAAATATCAAGTTAAGTAGGCATTATTAACTATGCAATTCAAGTGGAAGAACTTTAAAAGATTAAAGTATTTAAATTGTAACTTATACCTTTCTCCATGCTCTCCATCTCACCAAAGTCTTCCTCATCACCATCACAAGCTGTCCTTGACTTAGCCCACAAGCAATCTTGGGCACAAATAAGGGCTTGAGCCATTCTTGGTGTTAATGATGATCGAAAGGGATCAAGAACTCGACCTCTTATGCTAAAGGTTGATTCTGAAGCCATTGTAGAAATAGGGAACACAATAACATCTCTTTTTATAGTTGCCAAAATAGTGAATCTTGGAGCATTTATCTTCCACTAGTTGAGAATATCAAAATCCTCACGATCATTTTCAGTACCTTCTCCTAAATATTTATTTAACTTAGTTTTTTCTACATTATTCTCATTTTTGGTCTTGTATCTCTTGTAAGCAAACTTGAATTGAAACCTAGAATGTTGTCTAGATTCAATCTCATTTGAGGTATCAAAAACACCACTATTGCCCTCCTGAACTTCACCTTATCCACCACTAGATTGTATTCTCTTATATTCATTGAACAATCTTCTGAATTCTACATGAACCATATCTCCATATGCTTTTCCCTTCTCTAGACCATATGTACTCCGCAATAAGAGTTGAAGAAAATCCAATTTGTGCTTTGGATCGAGCACAACAACATGAAAGATGTTCTTATTCACGCCATTGGGTTTACCCCAATACTTATGGCACTTTTCTCTCATATTTCCAACCATTTAAAAAAAAAAAATCCACATCTTTCTCCCCTCATTTCAAAAGAAATTCAACCAAACAAATTAGGTTGAGTATAATAAGTTAATAGCATACATGATAATTTGCAAGTGGTAAAATAAGAGATCTGATTTAAATTTGTAAGTTTGAAAGACATACCTCTCTGATTTCTTGGAGGTACAGATGGCTTGTTAGATAATGGCTACTAGAAATTTGCTCAATTAAAAAAGTAAAACTATTCTTGGAACTTCACCACCTATTTCATATTCTCCCAATCAATACATGATTGGAATCCAAGTGCATCAGGTCCATAATTTAAATTTGATCTCATATCTTTATATTGCGTAACATACCTTAAAAAATAAATCAAATATTAGCATGTTTTAAAATAAATATATAACATGAATTTAATTAAATTCAAAATCTGACCAAAACAGTAATAATAATTGGGAAAACTATATTTACCTCTCAAATGCCATCTCAAATTTTGCACTAGTATCTAGCATTAAATATAAAGAATTCCATCTTGTAAGAACATCTAAACATAACCATTTCTTGGTCTGAATTTCTTCATATTCAACAACTTCCTTGCATCTTTTCAATCTCATAGGGCTTTGTCGAACATACTTGACAACAACCCTAACAGCATTCATTGATTGGTTAATATGTTTCTCTTGTGTTCCATTAGAAACCACTACGCTGACAATATGAGCTGAACGTCTCATTTACAGATCTTGGGTCCCCAAAACTACTACACCCCACTTGTTTAGAGGATTTCTAAGGACTTTAATAACTCCATCATTGGCTAATGCGTTGTCTACAATTAATGCAAACACTTTTTCAATACCCTAATCTTTTAAACACCTCTCTAAGAGGTCCCCTAATTATTGTCCTTTATGACTCAATAAGGCAGAAGTTTAGAATCCTTTTTTGTAGCTTCCAATTCTCATCAACATAATGTGCAGTAAGACACATATAACTACTTCTTTGCAGTGAGATCCATGTGTCTACAGTAAGTGAAACCCTCTACCTTGATTTCTTAAAATAATTTTTAAGCTTCAACCTTTTCTCAACATAAACATTAAAACACTCCCTAGTTATTGATCTTTTATTTAGAACCTTTAAAGTGGGGGGCAAAGCAAAGTTGCAGAACATCTTAAACCATATTTTTTTAACAACACTAAAAGGTAGCCCATCAAATATGATCATCTCAGCTAATACCCTTTTCAATGATGTGGGGGCAAAATTCCAAGTGCCTAAGTAAGGCAATTGTGCACGATTCTATCCCTCAACATTACAAAGCTTAACAAAGTCTAATCTCTACTAGAACCTTGATATTGCCTACAACTCAATAAATGATTTCTCGTGGAAGAGGTTCCATTTAAAGTACTAATTGACATTGTCATGTTGCAATAGTTACACATAGACTTAGTTTTGCAACTATCATCAACAAGTTTAGTAAAATGTTTCTAGACCTTAGACTTTCTGTTGTTACCTTTCTTCCTTTTAGCACCAATCCTTACACCATTTATGGCCCTACTTCCTCTTGTTTGAACTTGACAGGGTTGTTGGGAAGAATCACCCATTTGCATATTAATAGTTGTTTTCTAGCTGGTGATCATCAATGATATGTATCACTACATCCTACATCAAAGGTCATGTAAGTTTAACTTATCTACTTTGAACTTTAGCCAATCTATCATGAATATGAAATTATCAACAAAAAAGTCTTATGAGTACTTACTCTTTGGTTGGTGTTATGCCTTTCTGCCATATCCAAACTCGCAACAAACCAACTCAAACAAGAAGTAAGACTGAAATGGTTAGAGAAATCAATTAATAGTTAGGGTTATTGATAAAATTTTGGAAATTGACTTAGGCATTTAGACAAAATATGGCTAATTATGAATCTTCAGTGAAATACATAAGGATTTAACATATCTTTAAGAGTTAGTATAGAAGACTAAGATTCATGTATCATACTTGTTGAATGAACATAAATCTAGATTCAAGAGCTTCCTAAAAGAAACTTGAAATCCAAAGCTTAAAACCCCTTGAAATCTTCTTGAAGATGGTCAATATTATGAACTCAAAATTAGGATTTTTAAGGTTTTGCTTCTTAAAATGATCAAAAAAGAGATGTAGCAGTGGTAAAGAAGAACATATGAGGAGAAAGGAGAGATACATGTTAAATGAATGCAAATCTTGAT